GAGAGAGAGAGAGAGAGGGGATATAAGAGGGATGCCGAAACAGCTGATCGATTACCTGGCCTCTTAAGAGAGGCAGACATGCTTAAATTTAATACGATACTGGTACTGTTATTCAGTCTTAAATATCATAAATCTCAATATTCGCTTACAGAATGCGCCATAAAATCTACATCTCGTAAGACAATATTATTTATTGAATATTTATTAAATAATAATATTTATTAAAATTGATTTTTTTTTTCAACGAAAACTAGATGCTTCTAATTAATTAAATCCATTTAACCGTTATTTTCGAGTCTTTAATTTAATATTCATCTATATAAAATATTTTTTTGCGCCAAGATATCGTATAGGTAGGTCAATCACAAGAATCTTGAGATCGAGTATTTAATCATTACATTGCCGGTTAACTAACCCATTTGAGATTTCATAGCTCGCTGCCTTTTACATAAAGATATGGCAAGTATGGCAAGTGAGTCCTCGGAATGTGACTTAGACAATGAGAATGGGTGACGGCTGTTTTGCAAGGGAGGCTGGCACGCGCAAAAATTACGACATTGCACAGGTAGATTGAATGACCTTACATCGTTATATGCACGCTCGTCTCATTGACACCAAAGTGTTCTATTATTAATCTCGCTAACAAGCGTAATCGAGCTTAACGTGTATATATATATATATATATATATATATATATATATATTCGGAAGAGTAAAGCGTTTAAAACCGTAATTCAGTTTTGCGGTCGTTTACACTCACATGCGTGCGGGCGCAAAGCTTCAATATTTACTTTAATTGTATTATAATTAATCAAATTTTGCATTATTGCGCTACTGCTATCTCACGACATGATATAGCGGCACAATATAATACAATATCCGATTAATCGTAATACAATTAATGCAAATGTAGAAGCTTCGCGCGAGTGAACGATGCGAGCGCGGACGTAGCTTCGTTGAGATGTTTTATTAAATTTCATAGCACCAGTCAGCCTTCGCTCATGATCGATAGATAACGCATGCTCTAGTCGACCGGCGAGAAATGAAAAATAAATGTCGCCCTTTAGGCGAATACTCGCGATCAAAGGTGAGGAACGCGCGGCGTATAGAAAGAAAGTGGTCTATTTTTCGCTAGAGTTAATTAGAGAGACGCGCGCATACACGCGCTTTCAATTCTATCTGTTTAATCTATCTAATTACTCCATGACGAAACGTAATGAAATTATGAATGAATTAAGTAGCGGTACGACAGAACGTTCCATGCCGCTTTAATTAAGTCGCGTGACGCGCGTAAGTCGCTGTATGAGAGTTAAGCCACCTACACCGCTTCGTTGAAGAAGAGGAAAGAGGAAACTTTCGATTATCAATGCGAGAAGACAGGTGAAATTTGCGAAATTGAATCGCGCTTATTTTTCAACAGTTTTCTCATTACGTTTTATATTTGGTAGAATATTTTTTTAAACGATGCCATATCCGCGCGGGCGGATTTTTAATATTCACAGATTATCTTAATCTCTCTTTCTCTATTTTTTTTCTTTAATTTTTGCGACGTTGAATTCATTTCGCGCGACGAGAAAACCCCAATCAAGATTTCACGATTACGCGATTCCGCTGACTTTAATGAAAGCGTTATCCCGTGTATATAATACTGGATGAGAGAAATCGAAGAGCGAACAATCGCGGCTTTGATGCGCCAAGTAGTTTGATACTGTTCGACAAGTGTATTACCGTTCGTGATAAGTCGCAGAAATCGAGATTGCCCCGGGGCTGTTCTCTCACTCCCTGAGAGAGAGAGAGACAGAGAGAGAGAGAGAGAGAGAGAGAAAACCAGTACATGAATGCCCATTGTCCGCGATATCCATCTTACAAACGATCACGTCGACGACGATCATTCAATGCTGCCCCGACTCTTAAACCCTACTCGATCATGAACGTACTTTCCCTCCATTTGTGATGGGCAAACATATAGCTTTTAAAATTATGTTTTTTTTTTATCGGTACTATCTTCTCCCTTCAGTTAATTCATATTCTACGTCCTGAATGTGGATTCTATGCAGTATACCATCAGGACTGATAAATTGTAAATAATTTATTCTCGGCAGCTAAATCTTAATAAACGCGAGAGAAAAAACGCTATAGAACTCGAAATTTGCGAGTCGTAAGATAGGGCTAAAGATATCGTTTCGTATACTTGGCGATAGTCGTCCGTCGAAAAATACTCGGGGAGATTCCCGGCGATTCTGCGTGTCTTGCACACACAGAAGCTATTCGAGAAGAGAATAGAAATTGTTCTTCCTATAAATAGAGGCTCAGGACTTAGAGAGAGAGAGAGAGAGAGAGAGAGAGAGAGAGAGAGAGAGAGAGAGAGAGACAGAGAGAGAGAGAGACAGAGCGAGGGGATTAAAGCGAACGACGCTAAACTAAACGTTGACGCGCATGACTGGCCGGCACTGATGTGAGTAGAGAGAGCTTCGCCGCGCACACTTGGTCAATTTTTTATAGTCCTCGGACTGTGTCCCCGAATTTGTTTTTGGGATCGATAGAAGGGAGAGAGCATCTCGTGGATCGTCGGAGGGGGAGTTATCTCGGTAGATACTTCCAGACCTACTTCCGGATATAAAGGGTGGGAGGGAGCATTCGGCCGCCGCGTCGCGGCCGCGCTCCTCTCTTAGAGAAAACAAGTTCTCCGAGAGGCGATGGCCGAGGCGCGATCGCGTGAAAAATTGACAAACTGCGCCGTGACTCTGTCCGCCACCATTTTTCAACTTCTCCCTTTCTTTCCCCTCTTCTCACAATTTAACAACTAGCTAGTTTTATTTTTGACAGTTTTGCTATTCGATATTGATTCGTCGCGATACGAATAGTGCGGTCGTGGCGGCCGGTTCAACGAGATTAATTATTTAGGGACAATCGGTTCTCTCGGAGGCAATTTATACTTCCCATAGGGCCGAAGAGCATGCGATATGCATGCACAGTATAAAATGTAGAGCATCAAAATCGAAATGGTGGTACATATATATATATTTTTTTTTATTACAATCATAATGTGTCGATTTGTGAAAAATTTCTAGAACTCACGCGTATATACGCGGTAATGATTTCCGAATTTACGAAATTAAAAAGTTGCGTTCCGCTTATTTAAAAAAATGTATCTTTAAATTTATAGTTATATGAATATTCTCTTCTGTTTTATTTGCGAATACGAGAAACGCGCGGTTAAAATTTCGACGTTTTATAGAGTCGAATTTCGTGCGCGCAGAAATTCTTTGACTTTTTTTTGTTTTTTAGCGATATTGCAACGGTAGAATCACGTTTTATTGAAACACCATCATTTTCGAAATTTTCGTCGAATATAATACGCGCACGCGGGGCAAAGGATTTCGCGTGCGAGAGGGACGCGGATGCGGGGCCCCCCTCCCTCCCTTTCCCCTTTCCGAGTATCTAAACTCGTTCGCGTTCGATATCGTGACGGCGCTAATAAATACCGTCGAGGTAAATTGCGAAAATGATATTCCTCTTCTCGCCTGGCGGCGAGCACTCTCACATTATCGAAGCTGAAAAGGTGGCTAAAAGTGTTTGTGTGTGCCTTGAAGATCCCGGGCACGACAGTGGCACCTCCGCCGAGGGCTATACTTTTGGTTAAAGTGGCTGTGCGCGCGCTGGAGAGGATTTCCCCTGGAGAAACAGTGCGACGCGACGGAGGATTGAGCTAACAAATTCCCCTTCCGTTCTTCTGATGAAAACGGTTTGAATTGCCATGCGAGGAGACGAAGAAAGAAAAATTACTCGGTCGGAACGAGAAATAATCGTTGTCGGCGTGAGGTAAAAATAGCTTTCGCCCCAGAGAGAAACGGGACGCTTTCCTTAGAAAAAAGAGAAAAAAGTCGTGACACAATGAGAGGGATGTGTAACGTGACGAATCTCTTCGAAAAAGAAACTCGGGCGAAATTGTCCGTCTCCGGTTTTTACGTAGCGAAAAAAAACGCGCTGCGTTTGTGTTTCCGAACGCGCGACACAGGACAGCGCCCTTTATCGTCTTGGAGCAACCTCGAAGGCTCTCTTTCCGGTATTTCGCGACCGGAAATTGAACATGACCGTTTACGACTATGTAATAATTGGCTTCGTACCGGACCATTTAAACAGCAATTGTAGGTCATCTCGGTAAGGTACTTGGCACGACACAATACCGCGCTTCCTCTTTCTCTCTCTCTCTCTCTTCCTCCTTCTTTTCATATAGAGTGCCGCTGAAGCCACCGGTCGAGATTGTTGACAATGAGACTGGAAAGTGGCTCTCTCAAATGAATCCATTGAGCGTTAAATGCCGCCGAATAACGATTTGCTCGTGAAACGGGAATCGCACGATGGCCCGAGTGATACGCGATTAAAAATGTATCGACGTTACATTTAACCTTTATAGGAAGAGGGAGAGAAAGAGAGAGAGAGAGAGAGAGAGAGAGAGAGAGATCATTCCCCAGGAGATTTTGTAATGTCCCACTCTCACGCCATTCTATTTCCTTTATACGATATTCTCTTGAATCAACAGATTTAATCCGACTTCGATATAACTGACGTAATGAATTTTCACGAAAATTCTTATGATCATATGATTAGTGTAATTGCATAATCATCCTAATAAGTCTTCTCTGAAAAGTTTTGAGGCAACGGGCGAACAGGATGTTGAATTATTTCGAGGCCACTTTCGTCTCGTTAAAACCGACGAGGTCGGTGACGTTTGAGTGGACCGGAGGAGCAACTTACTTTCAGTTCTGTATTAATATCGCTCTCGGAGCAAAATCTTACCGGAATTCTGATTAGATCCTCGCCCGGAAAGTTTAAATTTCATTGCGCATCACTGCAGAAACTCCGGACGGACACTGTTTTAGGCAAGAAACGCTTTAATAAACGTCGCGTTCTACGTCCCGTTACAACGATCAACGTTTCTAAAAGGTAGCAAGTCAACTGGGAATGCATCGATCGTCATTTCAAGTACTGCACGAGGTCGTTCTATGAGCCACCGTTCTTGATGCAACGGCCAATCGCTACAACGCGATCGAAGCGTGATTCAAATTTCATAGATCTAATTTTGTAGAAGGTCTGATTGCCTTGAAATGATTCTCTCTTTTTATTCAATTTATCATAAAAAGATTTAACAGAGAAACAAATCTTGAATTTTAAATATTAAATCTGTAGGAATGATAAGAAATAGACTCTCTCTCTCTCTCTCTTTTTCTCTCTCTCTCTCTCTCTTCCCCTCTCTCTCTCTCTGTTTGTCTGTCTAGTTTCGCTAGGGTTAAAATTATTGTCCGGTGTAACTTTGAAATCTCGCCGAGTGAAACGGTTATTCCGTTAACGTTGCCATGCGACCCACCTAACTTATCAGATTCAACATAGTTTTGAAGAAAGTTTTGTACGCCTACACTCTTT